TTAGATGGACAAGTGGTGTGTCTCATATATAAGTGCTCAATCTTTCCTTTTATAATCAATATGGGACTTAGAACTCACTCATCTATTACCTTAAGGTTTTAGATGGACAAGTGGTGTGTCCCAAGTAAAATACTCTCTCCTCGGTATTGTCCCTACAATTTGTATATTGAAAACTTGTTTAGATTTTATAGAACTTTTTTAAAAAAGTTTTATAATCATAATTTTATGTCAATTAAGTTTTTTATTTATATATTGGTCTAATCTAGAGTGACAAAACATGATGAATTTGTCGAATATATTTGTTTTTTTTATATAATTTTTTGCGAAACGCATTAAAGTTTCAAGTCAACATCTATTAATATGTCCATCTCATTCAATTCTGTTTTTCAAAGTTTTTACATACACAAACATTAATATATTTATTTACAATTTTAAGTTATAAATCATGTCTCATACATTATTTTTTTCAAACATTTATATGACGGAGTTAAACAAGACAAACGTGTTTATAGTATAGATTTTAAACATTGGTAAAACTACCTTATAGTTCAAGTGAAATGGACTTCAATTTCTTAAGTAGGATTTCAAATTTCAATCCTGACACACTAAACTAGCATGTTAGATATGTAGAAAGAAATTAGTCATTGTGAAAGTTGGTGAATAGTTGACATCATTTATATATTTCAGAAAATAGAAACGAGACATTTCTTAACAAAAAGGTGGGTTTTATATTTTTACCCAAAACGAGGTAGAGTTAGAGCCATTAAATCAATAGAAACGGTTTATGAAAGAAGACAAAATATGTGTAATTATTGTGTTAGATACCAAAATAAAGATAAATTTCATAAGAGTTAGTTTGGTTGAGGGATTTGAAAGGGAGACAATATTTTAAGTTAAATATATTTAGTTTTATTTTTTATAAAAGGAGGAGAGGAATTTTTTTTATGAATAAATTTTTCGTTCCCTCTAAATCAAAGGGATTTGAAGCGATTGAGAAGAGATATAATAAAATGATAAAATGATAAAATGATTCTCACTTTTTATTAAAATCTTAAATGTTTTTTTAATATATAAACTAACTTTAGTTCTTATCTCCTTATTAGAATTCTATTTTTTTACAATGATTCCGTTATTTATTTTTTTTAATATATGTCGACTCAATTTCTTTATTTTTTTTTATGTATTTTATTTTATTTATTTTTATTTATTTTTATTTATTTTTATTTATTATTTTGTTTGTAAAAACATAATTGTTTTATAAAATTTTTGTGTTGTATTACATATCTATAATAATAGTATTTTATATATATATATATATATATATATATATATATATATATATATATATATATATATATATATATATATATATATATATATATATATATATATATATATATATATATATATATATATATATATATATATATATATATATATATATATATATATATATATATATATATATATATATATATATATATATATATATATATATATATATATATATATATATATATATATATATATATATATATATATAATTCAATAAATATTTTATAACATTATATGGATTATCAAGATGATAAAATGATTCATCTAATCGTGAATCATATTATTGTCGTATGAAATTTATCAATAATTTATTTATAATTGATATCATTTGGAAATGTCGTAATTTGACTAGGTTTCAATCAATTCATACATCTTGGAAGAATGCATCAACATCTATCAAAATAAATGTTTATGTGTGAGGACACCACATTAATAAAAATTTCATGAATTCTGAGCCAGACTTTCTCATCATTAAAAAATTTGACATAGACATCCATCTGCCTCATACTCCAAAAATAGTAGAAGTCTTTTGGTCTCTGCCTCGGGTAAATTGGATGAAAGTCAACACTGATGACTCTTCGACCTCTTCTTCTTCAATTTGTGCAGGTCTTTTTAGGAATTCAGATGCGAATTTTGTGTCTGATTTCATGGAGAATTTGGGAAGTTGTAATGCGTTTCATGTCGAGCTTGTGGGGGCTTTGCGAGCAATTGAGATTGCACATGCTAACCTTTGACATTTGCGAGCAATTGAGATTGTACATGCTAACCTTTGACATCGTCTTTGGTTGGAAATTGACTATAAATTAGTCGTCAAAGTCTTCTCTAAATCTACTTTCATTCAGTGGGCGTTAAGGCATAGATGACAAAATTGTAAGCGATTGACCAATAGAATGTCCCATATCTTTTGTGAAGGTAACGTTTACGCAGACACGTTAGCAAACGAGGGGTTAAACATTGTGGGATATAGATTTTTGGCAAAATATCATTTTCGGTCCCTTAAGTTTACCTCGGGATCTATTATGGTCCTTTATCTTTAAAAAGTTCCAAAGTGGTCCTTTAATTGTTCAAAAAGGTCCATGTTAGTCTTTTCCGTTCAATTTTCACAAACGGCGTTAATTTTTCCATGCTATCATCTGAAGTGGCTTCTGTTTGTACACATGGCATGTGACTTGACATGTAGTCATCTTCAAGGCCATCAAAATTCCAAGAAAAATCTTAAAAATTTATGTTAGTCCTTTCCGTTCAATTTTCACAAACGGCGTTAATTTTTCCATGCTATCATCTGAAGTGGCTTCTGTTTCTACATGTGACTTGACATACAGTCATCTTCAAGGTCATCAAAATTTCAAGAAAAATCTTAAAAATTTGTATTGAGCCGGGATTCAAACACAAGTTTGTTTAGTTTCTTGACAATATTTCAATCACTAGGCCAGCACGTGCCTGCTTGTCTTACTTAAACAACCACATAACTACAACACTTTATTTCAAATTGAGTTATTGAGTTATTTTGAAATTGAGTTATTGAGCTCATGGTCTAGAACAAGCAGAGCAATTTTTCAAAGACATCCCTGAAGTTAAAATTGTGTTCAAGGTCTATGCTGCTCTTTTGAGCTGCTATGCAGAACATAAATCTTTGGAGGAAGCAGAGGCTATCATGAAGAAAAATAAGAAGTTGCGTCTCGTGCACTTGACAGTGTGTTATAATATGATGTTAAAACTATATGCTCAGAAAGGTAAATCTGAAAAATTGGACAGGTTAATGTAAGAAATTATAATCGTAACCGTAATTGTAACTCTAACTGCAGTTTCTTCTAATATCCAATTGTTACTCTTAACTCTGCACTCGCCACTGAATTCCCCCAGTCTCCATGGTTGAATCTAAACAGATCTCCGTTCATCACGCTCTCGGCACCGACATAGGTTCTCTTTTTCTCTCTTCCCTTTTGATTTCGTTCATTCTGCTATGGATAATGGATCCTTTACTTCTGTTACTTATAGTTAACGATTGATCTTGTTTACGATTCAATTAGTTTATGCTTTGAACCGCTTGATTTAGAAATGAAAATCGGAGTTGAGTGTTTTTTATTTGATTTGCGTTAGTTGCTGATGTGCTACTATGGAAGAATTGGCGTGGAGGAGTTGCGGTGCTGAGTTCGGCGATGACATTGTGGTATTTGTTTGAGCGAGCCGATTATAAATTCTTTTCGTTTATGGCTAATGTGATTTTGCTTCTTGTTGTGGTATCTGTTTGAGTGCTTATATCAAGTACTTGAAAGAAAAAGTTGACGTGGAACAAGCCTGAGATTCTGAAATTATTTAAAGAAAGGGTCATATCTTAGACACTGCCTATGATAGACTAGTAAGTTATGTTCATGGTGAAATACCTGATACAGAAGCCTTTGATTTGTTTAAACAAGATTTAAAGTATGAGAAGGTTAACTTCACGATGAAGAAAACTAATGATTCAATGTAAAAGATGTTATTGAGTTATTTTGAAATAAAGTGTTGTAGTTATTTAATTGTTTAAGAAAGACAAGCAGGCACATGCTAGCCTAATAGTTGGAATATTGTCAAACAACTAAACAAACCTGTGATCGAATCCTGACTCAATACAAAAATTAATGTTGTTCGTGAAAATTGGAAAGATAACCCCCTCTTATATCTCTCTTTTTTCTATTTTATCAACCTTTTATAAAAAAAAAATGTGTTTGATTAACTATATTATTTATGAATTAACAAATTTTTGTTTTATTAATATCACTTTATTTTTATTTTATTTAGTATGAATGATATAAGTTAAATAGGTAAATTGGATTTAAAATTCCTGCTCTCTCACATGAATCAAACATATTTTTGATTAATCCATTCTCTTCTCTTCTTTTGAACCAAACATATTTTTAATAAAAATATCTTTCCTCCCCTCAATCAAACCAAACCTAAAGAAAAAAACATTAAATTAGTGAACTAGTAAATAATAGACATAGTGAAATAAGGTGGAGGCGTAAAATAAACCCTAATTATTGGGAGAAAAAAAACTAAAATGATAAAGACTCAAAATGAAAGTAAGTTGATATAAAAATGTTCAAATAACAAAATGTTATTCTCAGACATATAATTCTGCAAAAAAATATAAAGCAAAACGATGCATCCAACTTATTATCTTATTGTACAAGACAATATGGAGCAACTATAACAGTAGAATCATAAAAATTACAGCATTAGAATATCAATACTTGTAAGGCCCGCTCCAGCTTCTATAACACATATACAGCACTGCCCAATCTAAACTGTTCCAGAAGCAAAGTCCTTCCATTCCATGCCATCATCAAAACAAACCAAAAAAACTGAAAGAAAGTAATCAAACAACAACAGACTTAACCTAAGACTCTCACATCTAAATTACGAAACTACTTTTTTTATTATTTCGAGTACGCACAACAGGAATAACACATAGTGATTTTTTTTTTGTTTTTTTTTTTTGGATAACTGACTAAGACTTAACAAATACTAAGACCAAAATGTTTTTTTTTTGTTTTTTCAGGTTAACTGCCTAAGACGCGTCAGTATTCAATCCTACTAGTATACCAGAGGTAAGAGTAACAAGAAGATGCAGAAAAGGAGATAGATAAAAAAGGGTTACACATTGGAGGCATCAGACCCATGTTTTACATACTACGCAATTCTTTGTCAGCCCTATCAAGCAACTTTTTGCCAAACATATTGCTGCGCATCATAAGAGAATTTGCTTGGATCAGATCCAGCAGAGCATTCTTAAGATAGGGATTACCCTGTTGATTAAATAAGAAAAAAAAGTTATAACAACAACCAATAAACCAATGAGGTGTGCATGTAATAGAATATTGAATTTAATAGTGTTTGTTTACTATATAATATAACTATACATTTCAAATGCCAATACAAAGTGTGAGAAACCGCTGCATATTCCAATAAAAAACATGTGATATGTATTTGTTTCAACTGCGAAACACAATGCTTAAAATTATTAGTTGAGGAAATGCATAATACTACACGCCATGTATTCAAATGGGCTTACCTTAAATTTCATCAGTGCTGTACAGATGACATAATTTCCAAATGGATCGACAAGGAGCCTTGATACATTTGGAGAGTTAAGTAGCTCCGCGATGATTTTTTCAGATAGAAGCACACCTGCGTCGTGGAAAAACTTTTCCACTACATTACTCCCATACTTATTGCAGGAAAGATAAACAAATCGTCCTTCAAGCTGTCTGTGTAGGTTGCTTGACACTCTCTGTATTTTCATAGACAATAGATGTTGAAGCACGTAGTTGCTGCAATATGAGAAAACAAGACAAAGTGAATTGAAGATAAATGAAATTAGCTATCTTAGCTAGAAATAAAATAACTAAATTTTTATACATAAGGTCTAGCTCAACCGGCAATGCCAATATTGTTAGGCTGGATATCTTCCAATTTTGTGGTGTACTGGGTTCGAATCCAGGATCTTCCACTGTGTGTGTGAGTGTATAGTAGTGTTTGTCAATTTGTCTACAAATTAAATACTTGTAAAAACTAACCCGTAACAATCTTCTGCTAATAGTGGAGCGTTTAGTACGATGTCATCTATCAGCCGATTCTTAGGTTCTCCTTGAGCATGGCTAGCGCAATACTGCATCACACAGCATCCTGTCTTGTCTCTTGCGATCGAGAGAGAGTTAGTTGCAAGAATACTCAGGAATATCTGTGACAAAAATCCATAATCAGAACATGATAAGCACATAAACTGAAGCAAAGTAGTTTGACAACAGGTAGGTATATAATAAATACAAGTGGTGATCCTTTTTTATTTCTTCATTATATAAATGCTTAAGTGCTAATGGCAAACATAACACTGTTCATCTACCCAAAAAAATTGTTGAAAAAGAGATGAATAAATTAAAAAGTGCATGGTTAAAAATGATAGAATTAGTTTTCATGGTATAGCATGCACGGCAGGACTACTATTTGAGTTTCAGAAGATAAAAAAAAACATCGAAACCCCCAATCTGTGCAGTGCCAACACAGGCCAGGATTGCGAAACAGCAACCTAAACCTTAATTTAAAAGGTTAAGCAACAAATTCTTAGTCAATTTAGGAGGAGACCAAATTAAATCACATTTAGATTGTTTGTGAAAAGGAAGCACAATTTTAACTTAAATTGTGTAACAAACCAGGATTGAGAAAACACATTTTACCTTAGTATCTTCATGTGGGAAATTTCTCAAACAAGAGAGAGCCACACGATGACCATTAACATCCTTAGACAACAAAATAGCAGCAGGATTCAAAGCTGACATAATAAGACGCCTTTGATCTCTGGTAGTAGCATTCTCACACAGTTTCTCAATAGAACGAAATCTTCAACAGTAAAAGAAAAAAAACTTTATCAGTATAAATTAATCAATTCAAAATATAAAATCACAGTGCCTTAAGAAACAAGTAATCAAAGAAAGATGGTTGAAATTGAAAACATACCCATAAAGATCAACAGAAAGTCTAATGAGCTGACATTCATAGCTAGTCACCATTAGAATGATGCGAGTGAGTTGATTTTCGTTGCACAATCCCACCATCTTTTGAACAACAACATTACCAAATGGATCAACCATCAGCTCAGAAACATAATCAATCACCTCGGCGAAAATATGCGAAACAGCTTCTCTTCCAAATTTTTCAATCAATTCCCCCAAAATCATACTTCTACTCTGATCCTTCGCCATCGAATAAATACTCCCTCGAAATTGATCAACCCAATGTGTACCCTTTCCATTATGATTAACAATACCATTCACCCAAGAAACATTCGGTACTGAGGATTCATTCAATAAACCATATTGAAATCCTGGACGCAATCCGTCACCAACACCATTACCCGCAACAGGAACAGAAACAGAAACACCCCCATTCAAAAGATTGTTAACATCCCCATAACCATAATCATTACCATAACCATTATGCCTCAACAAAAAATCCATAGGTCTACCTCGACCATAAGCGGAGTTATTTCTAACAAGAGCATTGAAACCAATAGCATTTTCACGGTTCAAACAGCAATTAGTAGCCTGAACCCCATGGTTATAGTAAGGATTCTCATGAAAAGAAGAACCCCCGTAACCATTCGACGAAGCACCAACAGAAAGCCGAGAAAAAGCAGCTTCTAGGGTTTGATTCTCACTACAAGGGTTCATGATTTGATGCAGAAATCGACGATCATTACCAGAGGGGTTTTGGTTCTGATCAACATTCTGGTTCATAGTTTGGGTTTGATAGTGATTTAGCGTCGAAACGCGACGAAGAAAACTTGATTGAGGCTCAAAAGAAACTGAGTCGTCGTCAATAGACTCGGGATTGAATCGTTTCATCTTTACCTACGAAAAACAACGACGACGGCACAGTGACTAGGATTCTTGGAAAAAGAGGGTTTAGTTTAGTTTTAGACTTTAGAGGAAGAGAGATTTAAAGGGTTTCAACAAATAAGGGTATTTATAACTTTATAAGGTTACTAATTAATTATTAATATTAATTAATAAGGAAATACAATTAATAATAGGATTAACATTACCAACATTAGGATTAATGTGACTGAGTAAGGTGAAGAGGCGAAGAAAGTGGAGTAGTTTGGCAAAGAGAGTATTCCTATAACTCGAAATTCTGCATGCAATATATAGTAACTTTTCATGCGAAAAAACTTGAAAACGACGAGAATGTTTAATATTTTAATAAATTTAATAAATTAAATGAAACTATATAGTTTTGATTTTTTATAGTGAACCCCACTAGATGTCGTTTTCAGTTTCAGGCCAATTGCATGTGCCTTTTCTTTCGGTTTTTCTGGTTTTGGTCAACACTCTACTAAGACTCTTTCACTAACATTTTTGGCTTTTGTAGAAAAAATAGTTATAAGAGAATATTAATATTCTTTTAACTTCGCTTACAAGTTGTCAAAGGGTTGACTGGGTGAAATTATTATTTTATTTTGTTTATGGGATAAGGTTGGTGGATTTAGGTTTTTTTATATCTTTCATAATTTAAAGATCAATTCTGATATTGATATAATTTATTTCGGAGATAAATTCTAATATCAAATAATTTTAATTTATTTTTATTTATAGTTGTGGGAATCAATAGTTCTTTCTACTAAATTTATGGTTAATCACTATTAAGAGTTAGTTTAGGATATTTTTTAATGAAGGGTTTGTGATTTTAGCATTATGTAAGTTTTATTAAATTTGGGAGATTATTTTAATATTGTTATTGAGATGAAATCGTGCATCTTTATAAAGTTTTAATTTGTCAATCAATTGTTTCCTACTATGTAACTTAAATATAATGTGTTTTTTTTCAGGAATTATTATTAATGATACTTTTTTTACCAAGTTATAAATACTGCTTTTGTGTGTCATAATTTAAGTCTTATTTTAAAACTAATACTCGTATAAAGAAATACGTATTAAGAATCGAAAATCCACACCTCATATAGTTTGATTTAAAATGTTTTTTTAATATTTAATATAAAAGAATTATAAAGATATCCAAAGATCTGATAATAAAAAGAATTCAATCAATTTATAGGGGGATTATTTTTCGATACCACGCTGTTTTTCTCTGGTTTTTGTAAATAATGTTTATCTCTTAACAAAAAGTTTATCGGCGGCGAGATCAACCAGAGAATTCCAGTACAGGGCTTTAGTTTTTGAACGTTTTCACAAAGTATGTTCAAAAAGATTCGTTCGACTAGCGCCAAACGAGTTTATAAGCAATAAAGCAAGGCTTATAAAATAAAATAAAATGTGTTTTAAATTGTAAACGTAAATGACATAACATCAAAATAGCTGAAAATAAGTTGATTCAAACGTACATTACCTTAGTTTGACTTATTTCTCTCGTTCATTTGGATACTCTGAATGACTAGCGTATAGGAATGTGAAAATTTGAACCTCTAACACTATACACTAAGTGTTTTATTTATAATACACAAAAATAACTACTTTCTAGCAGACTTCGCTTCTTCATACGCCATGTGTATCTTGTAACTCCTCTTCGTGATCTCACGTTCTCCATCCGTACTCTCGAACCCACGTTCTTCAAGTTTCCCTCCAAAATTCTTCGCTCGCTTGATGGATCCTTTGGGCCGTTTGACATTTCTAGGACCAATGACTTATGAAGTCTTCCTTGGTCGACTGCTCCTGTTTTCAGGCCCAATCGCTTACTTGTGGAATCTCTCCAGGTTGACTGCATTAATAATCGAATACTTTGTAGAATCTCTCTAAGTCTTAGGTCGACTACATCAGTAATCATGTCACATAAATCATCTTTTCTAATAGAACCCTTCTGATCCTTTTCTTTTGGTTGGATTTTCGTCCTTGTCAAAAATCCCAGCCAACAAATTATCCCCCCAAAATGTTATTTTCGACTGAAAAGGATAGAAATGAACATTTTAATCCTTTTTACTTAGTACGAACTGACGTCATTGTAATCATGACCTTTCTCTAAAACATCACGTCTGCGAACAAACAGCCACTACCCTACTTTTTAGTTTTAACTTCCTAGGATAAACGTGGTCCCCAACAAAACAACTTCTCTAATCAATCACCACCCGCCTGACACGTGTCGGTCGCGTGGCCACATATTTCCCACTTTCTTCCCAAACGTTTGGTTTCCTTGATAGTATAAATACCCTTCTCGTCTTTTCAATCTCCTCTTTACGCTCTCTTTGTATTCTCAAACTCTGCGTTTCAGTCTTAAAAAAAACTTCTTGTTTCCGTTTCTTTTCCCCATAACAACTTTCAATCATCCTTATGGCCACTTTAATCCAACTTACTGAACATATTCAAACACCTGATGAAATTGAACTAGTCTCCCACATGGATGATTTCTTTGTTGATGTCCAAAATACTTTTGTTTTAGAACCAACACCGTCATGAAACCTTCTAGCTTTTCATTCTCAAGTGTTGCTCCTTTTCATTTGTAAGCAAACCGCTTACGCTCTTTTGGGGCCTATTTCTGATGAAATCAGAGCACCTAAACAAATGGAATGTTGTTTCCCCACTCATAAGGTCATGAGACCTCCTATTAACAGATATTTCCCCATAGATTTTTCGCACATATACCAAACTTCTAAGGTTTTCCGTTCTACTCCTGCAATCAACCAAGATTACATTACATGGTTGAACAAAATTGAGAAAGTTAAAGGTGATGTTTGGAAAGCTCAAGGAATTTTTTATTTGATTCAGCTTTCTAGGGTTGGCCCTAGTTATTGGAATTACATGCTAATTTCTGCACTTTATTTCTGGGAAGACTCCACAAACACCTTCCATTTCGCGATCGGTATGCTTATCCCTACCTTATTCGACATTGCGACCATTACCGGCCTTCGTCCCACAAGTGAAGTTTTTCTTCCTACAGAAGCCGACGAAAATGTCATCACTTTTGAAAAGGACATTGTTAGCTTCACCAAATACATGGAGGGATTTCACACTAAAGATGTTGACATTGTGTCTGACGAATAACACATTGCTTTCTTGGCTTTGTGGCTTTCCAAGTATGTATTTTGCAGTTGATCTTTGAAGGTAGCTAAACGGTTTATTTCATTATCTCACCACCTCCATCTGGGTCGAGACATATGCCTGAGCAAACTCATTTTGGGGTTGCTCTATGAATCACTCAGTATGGTGGTCAACCATATGACCTCACTCTCTCCTACTGCCAGCTATCTGCTTGTTGGGCCTTTTGGCTGCTTCAATTATGGTTAAACGCCACCTTTGCAAGCCAGCTCAAACTGCGACTTTCTGAAGCACAAGAAACTGCATTCGCTCAGCATGCCAACGAAAGCCTTTGTCTTGCTGCAATGACACCTTTCAACAATGACATGAGTCGAGAGGATTCGCTTGAAAAATACTTGAAATTTTTCTTTAGGTGCACTTCTTTTCAGCCAAGCATGGCCCCCTTTTCTTCCAGACAACATGGTCCTGAATGGTTTACTCGACCATTTCCTCATGTCGATCCTATGTAACTCCCTAAATCCAAAGCCATCTGGCAAGATTTCTTAACCCTTAAGCTTATTACATCCAGGTTGGGAGCTAATGATGGCATAACATTTTTGTGTTATCAGCCTAATTTGGTGGCTAGACAATTTGGTTTATGCCAACCTCTGTCCCGTAGTTTTTATAAACCCTCTGATGAGTTGTGCCCCTGGTCCACTAGCTATAGTGAGGATGAATGTGCTCAACGTCTCCAACATTTTGCTGCTGATATACCCACTATGACTCTTGTCGCCTTCAAATCCCTCTTCTATACCACTAAGGAGTTCTATGATTAGTGGAATGTGTAATTTGTGAAAAGTAATGGTACTCTCAAGTCTTTCAAGGCTCGACTGAACCATGCTTTTGAAGCTATGCAGCAACAATTTAGGAAAGGTATGGCTTACTATTTTGACTTTGATTCGCCTTCTTGCTTCTTTATGTTTTGACTTCTAACACTTTGTCTTATGTTATTGCCACATTTAATGGCCGAGCACAAGAAACGTGCCAGGGAAGCTATCAGTGGTGCGACCGTCTCACCCTCCACTAATGAAGTTCTTGAAACTTCTTCTCAGGTGTTTTCCCGACCTTATGGATTATATACTAATCGCATTCCTCCTCTAACGCAATAATTATGTTAACTTACTCGTAGGCCCCTGAAGTCAACGTTGTCGCCCCTCTTGAGTCATCTCCAAAAAAATGAAAATGCTCTATTGGCCAAGAGAAACGATTTGTCGACGCGTCTTCGCATGTTGTTCCAAAAAATCCAAAAAGTCTAGGTCCACTCATCATGAGGTTGCCTCAAAGAAGACCGTTTTTTATTGTGCCTCCTACATTGGTGGCAAGAGAAAACGTCTTACAGCCTGCACCAAATCAACCAGAGAGTACTAACTCTAGTCCTGAGGGAGACCATCAGGTACTTTCTTTTCCCAAAGACTTCTATCTTAGGAACTTCGTTCTTTTATAACTTTTCTCTCATTCACCTTTACTATTTCAGTGACCAACAACTAAACCAACAAAGCACCTCACTAAAGTTGTCCTGAAGTCTTCTAAGCCCAAAAAATCTTCAACTATGATCTTGTCTGATACTGAACCTTGTGGGAGTGACCTCAATTCTCCTGTCCATCAGGATTCTTCTGAATATTCTCCTATTAGTGAAGGAGTGGAAGATGAAGCAGATAGAGACAGTCTAGGGGAAGATGCAGAAGATGACAACTTAGAGGGTTCTGAACACACTGATGTTGCTAACATCGCCACAACTACTGACAATAATCCCTCCTAAGAAAGAAAACTAACTCCTTAGGAAACTGTCTCTTTTGGCACCAGTTCAAATCCTCCTAACA